CATCGACCATGTAGCTATGTTATCAAATCTTAGTTGGCCTAAGACAGGTTTTGCGTAAAAATCGCAAAAATCAGAAAAGTGATGCCAAATTATTAACAATATTTTTACAGCTTTCATTTTTATTCCGTTTAATGTAAATGCTTATTTAACAAGGAAAGATAGATCTATTATATATTTTTTTATTTGATAATGAAAGCATTTATAGAAAAAAAATACTATTATTTTAAAGTTAATGAATTTTTATACTTTTTATGCGGAAATACTTTTTTTTTTGATAAACTCGTGACGTCAGGCTCGCTTTTATATTGAGTGAAACAGCCTTAAGGCTGTTCTTTATTCAGCTTTTCATGAAACTTTTCGCGCGGAAAGCTGCTTTACGCATGCGCACACTGTTTTAATTCGGAAAATTATTTTAACTTATACAGTGTGCGCATGCGTAAGTAGTTTTCCGTGCAAAAAGTTTCAAGAAAAGCTGAATGGAGAATAGCCTTTAATTGTAAGTTTTGAAAATGATTTAATACGTGAGCATCAAACACTTTAACTTGCATGAATAACGGTGTGGCGTATTTATCAAAATTGTATACTATACCACACGATTGCTTTAATATTATGTATATTCTTTAGTGCTAAAGAGCATGTGCTTATTTAACTGATATTATAATGGGTAGTATAACAGTGAATGAACAAAATTTGTTCATTCACTGTTACACTACCCATTATAATATCAGTTAAATAAGCACATGCTCTTTGGGACTAAAAAAATATACAAAATATAAAACCAAGCGTGTGGTATTGTATAAATAAAGCACACATGTCAAAACTTATCTAAAATTTATCGATTATATAATCGATAAATTTTAGATAAGTTTTGACATGTGTGCTTTATTTATACTATACCACACGCTTGGTTTTATATTTTTTATATTTTTTTAGTGCTAAAGAGCATGTGCTTATTTAACTGATATTATAATGGGGAGTGTAACAGTGAATGAACAAATTTTGTTCATTCACTGTTATACTACCCATTATAATATCAGTTAAATAAGCACATGCTCTTTAAGTTACTCAGTTAAATATATTTAATAATCTCAGTTCAGTTAAATATATTTAAACAAGTTCAGTTAAATATATTTAATAATCGATAAATTTTAGATAAGTTTTGACATGTGTGCTTTATGAGCCGATTGTCTTGAAGATTTTATTTTTAACAAGTAAAACGAATCTTTTGCACAACTGCTTTATTAACTGATACCTATTCTCTGTTAAAAATAGTTTTAGAGCATCTAGTTTGATATCGCATCAATTCTTTTGTTTGAGGTAGGTGTGTGTATCATTTATTTCCTGAAGAACCGATTCTAACTTTCGCAACCCGAGAAAACGCAAAAACTAAAATGATTGGAATACAACCATTGTACCCAAGCATTTGACCTAGTACATCTGTTTTCTGATTGCGTTTTCTCGGGTTGCGGGAGTCATCCTGACTTCAACGATCCGAAAAAACCCAAAAACTATAAATAATTGCAATACAATCAACTTACCTCAGCATTTGACCTAGTACATCTGGTTTTTTTTCATAAGTTGATTTCTCCTTGGCCTTTAGGATTTTTGAGTAATTTTTTTGTCCCCCATTGCAGTCTATTATGTTTTGATTATGCGCTTGACAGTGACAGAAGTCAAAACATCCTAGCATGAATTGAGGAAGAAAAAATAAGCGAAACTGCTCCATAGTTCCAAATAAATGTAACAAAATTCACAGCAGCAGATGAAGATTATGTAATCTTTGGTATTTAACTTTCAGATTTTTTTTTACTAAATTAACGAGCATTTTTATTTTTTTTAAACCTTTTTTTGTAAATTGATAAGTTAACGTAAACTAGGGTGGCTTTGGCCCATTTTACACTTTAAAGTCTAGTGCATGAAAACCACAAAAATTATTTCCCTAAACACCAACACCAAGCACTGTTAGAAGTGCATTGGTATAATAATTAAAACTATCTTTCTCTTAACTGAAAATTAATCACTTTTAGTATTTTTTAGGGGGTTTAAATGGTGGGCAAAACTCAGCCCGCGCGTAAAAGTGACTTTGCCAAAACCCAGTAAAAAGGAATTAAATATTGCATTGAATCTATAATAATAGCAATGTTAAGGTAAAAAAAAACAAATTTTCAAAATTTTGTACATTTTTAAAAATTTAGTAAATTCAAAAATTTACGAAAAGGTTTTAAGATTTTGTGACAAAACTTACATAAAAAGTATAAAAATCGTTGGTAAAAATTCAACAAGTTATGATTTTGTCTAAATAGTATTTTGCGATACATCTAAAGTCATATGATTTCACAGAAAAGCCATGGAAATATTTATATCAATAGAAAAACATTTTTTGTAGATATAAATAATGGTTAACCATCATGCTTTTTAAGGCGTGTTTAACTTAAATATCGGCGCGACTCCTGCAATTTTTAATTTTTCAGGGACAATATCTGTTTTAAATGAAAGATTAAATATGTAAAATAACAAGGGTTCTATTATATTATATACTGATTTTACAACATTAACGTTAATTTTATCAAATCTAGCACTTTTGTTAGTTTTAAGGTAAATTTTAAGTGAAAAATATGTCAATAAGTTAGAACAAAATTGTTCTCAGAATTTTTTTAAATTGGTTTTGTTTAAGATTAAGAAAAGACAATAAAGGTGTTTGAAATTGTAGTTTTTGAATGAGCAAAGAAGTAATGTGACTTTGCAAAACTGCTCCAAATGTGTAAATTTAAATTATTGCCTTTTAATAAATGTTGTAAAACTGTAAAAACCTAAAAACTTCCATTTCTTAAATAGTGATATCTTTTTATCTGTTTTTGCATTATTTACTAATTTATTGTTTATAAAAAAAACCAGTAAAAGTGAAATGCTCTGGTACAATTTTAAGTTTATGATATATTTAAGTTACAGGCTTCATACGAATATAAATAATGACACTCAAAGAAGATTTTTCACATTTTTATTTACGTTGCTCTATAATAAAGATTTAATAACTTGCAAAACAATTGTATGTCTTCATATAAAAAGAAGATATAAATCCTAATCTCTTTTTGAAACTAATTCTGGAAAATATATATAAACATTTTTTTAAACAGTCCCAAAATGAAATATATTATGTTACAACTTATTATTATTGCAGATTAGAAACCTGCATCAATACCTTAAAAAAAATTTAATTTTGAAAAATTAAGAACTCAGTCTGTCAGTCTTTAATTTGCTTTAAAAGTCTCGTTTTCAAAAAAGTATTAACTAAATTTTTGTTAAAAATCGACGCCAGAAAAGTCTTTAAGTAAAACATTTTTTGATTTGAAAACCTTAAAGTGAAGTTTTGAAAAATTATAAAGTTAGTGTAGTCGTTTGTTAGAATAATTAAAGAGTGAGTTTAAAACCCGCCGATAATGAAGACTTTTGTTTTTATTTTAATATGTGAACTCTTTGCCAAACACTACACAGTAAAAACCGCGTTTAGTCCTCCATATAACAATTTTCTACAACAATTAAAACAAAAAAAATTATTAACTACTCAAAAGTGTTATTTAATCGGAAGTTTATTCTTTTATGTTACGTGTTTTGAAATGACAAAATTAAAAACACTCATTATGACAAAATAATCATAAGTACATATTTGAAGTTCAAAATGTTCAGATTCTATACATTGCGATTGTTGCATCATATAAGAATAAAATTTGAAAAAAAAGATGGACATAGAAAATGACATCATAGTTTAAAGAAATTCCTAGACTTTTTCAAAAAAAAATTTTTAATGCTAGACTTGTAACAATGAAAATTAGTCGTCGTAAAGATTCTGTTTACTTTTATTTACTTTTGATTAGTATATTATTTTATATTTCATTATAGCAGTAAAGCCGCATTTTTAATGTAGCCAAGATATAACATAAATCATATAATTAGTAACTAAAGAAACTTTTCAAGATGCTTAAGGGTACCACTAACCACAAATAAAACCAATTAGTTGTTAAGCTGAAATAATAAGCTTCTTAGTTTTACTGACATAAATTTAAAATAGAAACTTCTAGATATTCCTTTTAAGAAGAAAGTAGCGAAGATGACATCATGAATTTAAAAAGGAAATTTCTAGATGCTTCTTTTACAAAGAATGTAGCGAAGATTACATCATAAATGTATAAAGGAAACTTCTAGATAATATTTCAAAAAAAAATTCGAACTTCGAAGATTTTACGCCGTTCTAGATAAATCGGCAATTTCATTCATTGAAAGTCGAGAATTAAAAGTTCATTCATTTAAAGAAAAGTGCATCACTCTTCATCTCAAGGTATAATTGTTTGTCAGATATAAGTAATAATACGGAATATTTTTGTACAAATAGAAAAATATCTTTAGAAATTCACTTTAACCCTGAAACTCCACAATACGCTAAGACTTGCGCTTAAGAGACTAACTACGTAAAACCTTTATCTTCGAGAAATTTACTAAACTCATGCTGCCATTATACACTGTTCGAGCTACATGGTGAACAGCAGTTCTATATAAATTTTCGACCTTGGATTCATGACAGAAATTTACGCTCTTACAAGCGAAATAATTAAGTTAATTTATGTTATTTATAAATAATTAAGTTAATTATTTCGCTCTTACAAGCGAAATAATTAAGTTAATTTATCAATTAGTCAAGCAAGAAATAATTTAGGCTAAACAGAATGCGGTTTTAGCAAAAAAGGGTTTGTGTAAATAGGTTCAAGACGCAATTAAATTCAAAAAAAATTAATTCAAAAAAAAAAAATTAGTTTGACTTCAACAATTAATTTCACTTCTTATAAATATTAATAATTAAAAAAAAACTAAGAGATAAAATGTTTTTAATTTTGCTTGTCAGTCTGTTCGAACATTAACAACATAAATAGACTGTAGTAGGCTGATTCAAATAATAATTTATTAATAACAAATAAAGTGTGAAATATATAATACAAAAGAAGCTAATGTAATTTTATTTGTGCCTTTATATGTAGGTAATAACGTTAGAATATGTTATAACTCATTAAAAAAAAAGTTATAGCAGCAGACACCATGACAAAATACGCCCAAAAACAGCCAAACCTAAAAAAATAAAAACTTTAATTTATTTTTAAATTTTAATTTCACATCATAACAAGCTATTACTTATTAAAGCCTTAAAATAATCTAATTATTTTAGTAATAATTACAAAGTATTCCTTACATTGTTAGATATCTTTAATATATATAAACACTTTATTAATTATTACTAATACTTTTAAACATTACTAATATTATTATTTTTACTAATATTATCATTATAACTAATATCATTAAGTATTATTTACATTTTATTTAATGATTTTACTTATTTATTTAAGTTACCAAATAAACTCTATGTATTGCATATAAATTTTTAATGTTTATAAAGTCTATTTAAATTACGCAGAAAAAGTTCTTAAATTTATTTAATAGTGGGACACTCTTTTAGTGTCTTAATGTGTAATATAAGGCAGACACAAATTTAGGTATTAACACAATACACACAAAAAAAGACACTCATTAAAAAACTAGTGCAAAAATATGAATAGTTATAGCTTATACTGTATTATTGTATTATATTGACAACAAATATACATCAATATTGTTATGGCAAGATTTGATAACTTAATTATTATACTATCTATTTAAAAAGAAATGAATATGCAATGTTAAAAAAAAAAAATTTGAAACCAAAAATAAATTTTTATTTACACTTACAATGAACATTAAAAGAACAAAAAAATTAGTTAATATAATCACTTAGGACTAAAACTAAGTCTGGTTTTTGCCAATACTACAAGATGAATTAAAAAAAAAAAAAGAAATTTTACAAATAAGATTTTATTTAAAAGTTGCAAGCAACTTTAAAAAAAAAAATCATTTGCAAAAGAAACTTCTATAAAAATTATTTTTTATAATTAAGATAAACAAAATACCAAACCAAAACCATAAGTTAGACTACAGTATATAAAAATAAAGTTTCATGCAAAACTTTGAAATTCTTACTGAGCCTGAACCCAACGAAAGTTCTTTTTATTGAAAGCCATACTCTAACTAAACCCCGAGCCTAACCCTAAGGGGCAGGGTTTCAACAACATTTGTTTCATTAAAGACTTCTTTTGAAAATTACTAAAGGGGGCCTGGAATACTCATTCGCCATCAGCCCTAATAAGTCTAAAAATTTTGGTAACTAAAATACTAAAGCACTATTAATTTCATTTACAGTACTAAAATGTTAAATCTGTTTAAACGTTTCATATAAAAAAAAGACGAACTCTCTTGGCTGATATTTAAGATGGAATTTTTATTATTTTTTTACAAGATCTCCCTGATTAGAGTTATTAAAACTTACTATTACATTTTAGGTATCAACAGGATGTGTTGATACTCAAAGTGTAAAAGCTTTAGGAAGATGTGTAAGTACACCTCAAAATATTGCCAATATTTTAAGGTGTATTTACCTGATCCACCACCTAATTTCCCTAATTAGTTTGAAGTTTATTAACTTTTTTTTAAACCCAGCTTTTTATTAAACCCAACTTCAGAAAAATTATATTTAAATTCCTTTAGAAAAATGTTTTTCAATTGCAACCTCTGTAGTCAAATGTAAGTCAAGAGAAGTTCATAAAATGATGTGCTAAATATATCTACATTATGCGTGTGACATACAACTTAGTTAAGTTATGGAAATTCAATGAAGTGCAACCTTTCTTATTTTTTTAAAAATTTAACGTTTCATTCCTTGATTTTTTTTTTACAAATATTTGACTTTTAAACGATCTGGCAAAAACACTATATCAAAAGGATTGCAAAAGTCAGCCAAATAAATTTTAAATTACATTTATGGTTTTTAATCCTAATAGAATAGAAAATTTGAATAAATCACTTTGTTTAGAGCATTTTTTTGTGATTTTTTTGAAATTTTTTTTATTTGAATTCCCTAACAAAGCAGACATCCTGCTTAAACTGATTATCTAAAAACTACCTTAATCTGATAATATCAATACTGTAATTTAATAGCAGTTACTCACATCATTTTAAAGTAGTTTCTAGGATTTTCTATACGCGTTTTTTTTTTAATTTTATTTACTAACAACCTGTATTACGGGTTGTTTACTGCTAGTAATAATAAAAACACTTGAATTTAAATAACCAAGAATAAAAAAAATTACTTAAAGGTTGTTATATGGTAAAAATTTAGCAATTATCGTTAAAAAAAAATCAATTTTCAGTTAATTAGCCAACTTTGTATAAAATTTAACTGGTTTTCAACCATATATAACATGATATGATTTTAAAAACAAAAATTGTTAAAAAATTGATTTTATTGATTATGAGTTAAGAAATTTACTAAGTTACAACCAAATTTGTCATTGATATTTTAATCTAAGATCTAAATTTTAAATAGTTGTTTCAATTTTTAGGTCTGTATAATTACTAAACTACTTAAAAAACGTTGTATATCTAATATTGTTGTTAGTTAAAAGGAGAGAAGGAAGTCAAGGGTGAATTTATTTTTCAAAAAGTATTATTATGGCAAAGCATACAAGTTTAAAAAAAGAAAAATCAAACGAGTGTTTCAAGGAAACAGATATATTAAGAAGCTAGGTGATGTTGTTTTGGAACAGCCTGCAGAAAAAACAAACAATGATGGAATAGATATATTGCCATGTGCCATTTCATTAAAATTAAACATTTCCTCAAATAAAGCCAATCAACCCTTAGCTAAACGTGATGACTTTTTCTTCTTTTTTTTTTTTATTTCCCAATGTTAAAATTTATAACATTGGATTATGCGGTTGTTGTAAATCAAAAGATATTAAACTTGAATACCTTGATAAAAAAACAAAAGGATTTTCAGTACAATTTTGTATCAAATGTGCATTTTGTGATTGGACTTACTTGTTTAATTCATCACAAGCATTTAGTATGTCTAATAGAGACTCCAGAGGAGTCAAATTTCAAGAAATTAACATCAGAACTGTTATGGCATTTACAGAAATTGGGCAAGGTCATGAGGCAATGAAAACATTTGCTTCAATTTAAATATGCCCCCACCAATGACTTTTAAGACATATAATGAAATAAACTCTAACATCCTACCATTTTATGAAGCTGCTTCTTGTGATAGCGTGAAAGATGCTGTGAAAGAGGATAGAAAAATTGTTTGTCCAACTGCAGCTGAAAATGATATTATAGAAATACAAATTGGGATTGATGGCACTTGGCAAAAACGTGGTCATTCATCACTAAATGGTGTATGCACTGCTGTTGCTAAAGCTAACCGTAAAGTCGTTGATTTTTAAAGTTTTGTCGTGGATGTGCTTTGTGGAAAAGCAAGAGCAATAAAACTAAATTAAACTAAATTTAAACTAAATAAAGCATTATGAGGTCTTAAAACTAAATTTGGTATGTAGAAAAAGTTAAAAATCAAAAAATATTTTTTTTTTTAAATTTTATTTATTATTAAAGTTACTATAGACTAACTGAATAATAATGATGCCTGAATTGGTATTTACATTATTTATTTTGTACTAAAAAATTAGGCTTGAAATTTAACTAGTAATTATTTATGTGTAAATATATATTCAATCCGAAAAGCTATGATTTAAAAAAAATTTATTATCTACTTAAAAAAGGTATAAAGGCGTTGCTCACTAAAATTCAATTGACCTGTTACATCTGTTTTAATTAATATAATAAATTTAAAAGAAAAGCAAACGAATGTATACTATAACAATGTAGCTATAACAATGTATAATTACTTGGTTTTAAGTTATTAATCCTTTTACAATCTTAATAGATAATCCTATTAAGTTAATAATAATAATAATCTTAATAGATAATCCTATTAAGTTAATAGATAATCCTATTAAGTTAATAATCCTAATATATAATAACTCTTACAAATTTATAAAAACACATTGCAAGAAGTAAAAACTGCAAATAAGTATTGCAATTTACTTCTCGACAACTTAGCGATTAAAAAAATATTAAAATAGTTTAACAAGTAACTGATTAACATATAGTTTAAAAATAACAACAGATACAAACCTTTTCTAAAAGCAAAACTAAAACAAACAGTATGCAAACGATTCAAAAGATTAAATTAGATACGTCTATTAACTTAAATTAGATACGTCTGATCTCTATCGTAAATTTGAGAAAAAAGGACAAAAGATATATTGCGCACTGTTTAGAAAAAATCTATTTTACAGAATGACATAAAAATGACGTAAGGAAACGGTAAAACTTCAGTTAACGGGTTATCCATAAAGTACATCACGCAACTAGAAAGAGAGGGGAAGGGGGGGGGGAGAAGGGGAGGCATAATTTTGTGACAATTTGTGACAAGGGGAGGGGGGTTTGATAAATATGATGTCACAAGTATTATTTATCATGACAGTTTATTTTCTACATATTTACTCATTCAATTATATAGGGTAAACTGGGGTAAAGTGAACTAGGGGTAAAGTGAACTATTTTTTTAAACTAAAAAGTTATCATGTTTAAAAAACTTTTTGTTAAGTAATTTAGCATTATTTTTGCTTAATACAACATTTTGAAATTTTTTAAATAAAAAAATTAATAAAATATAGCCTTTGTTTTGATGTAATAGCCATTTTAAAAAGCGAGTTTGGCGGAAGTTTTAAAATTACGATCTCAAACTTTGCTATGGGTTTTAGTAAATTCATGATTTGTTGTTATTAATGCGAACATCAGTTATATAATTTATATACATTTTAAAGATAATATAATGCTGTTAAAAAAAAATTGTAGTTTTTATCATAATATAAAAAAGCTAAGCTTTTAGTTTGTAAATCAATTTAGTTCACTTTACCCCTTATTTTTCTGCCTATTGGGGGTAAAGTGAACTAGTCTTTTTCTTATGTTTTTTCATCAAATATTTTTAGTAGAACTGAATATATAAATTGTAATTACTTAACTAAATTGTTTACTCTTAAAATAAGTTTTTTTTTTTTTAAATATTCTTAAAATTATTTTCAGAAATATAATATATTGAAATAATGCCAAGAAACTACATTAAGAAAAAAGAATCTCGAAGAAAAACATATGCACCTAATTTGTTGCAAAATGCCATTTCGAAAGTTAAAAATAAAGAAATGACTTCGTATGCTGCATCAAAAGAATATGGTGTTCCAAGAAGTACAATTGCAAGACATCTTCTAGGCATAAAATGCTCAAAAGTTGGTGAAGGGCGACCAAACCGATTATCTGCTGATGCTGAAAAAGATCTTGTTTCACTTTTATCTGCATTTTCTGATTTTGGATTTGGATTAGATAAAAAACAATTTATGAAACTTGTTCAAACGTATATTGAATTAAACGGATTTCAGAAAAAATTTGTTAATGGTGTTGCTGGTGATCAGTGGTTTTGTAATTTTTTAAATCGTTGGCAGAAAGAAATATCAATAAGAACTCCAGAGCTTTTGACATTAACAAGAGCCTTAGCTTGTAATAAAACTGTAATTGATGCTTGGTTTTTATTACTTAAAGCAACATTGGAAAAATGTGACATTATGAATAGACCTGCCCAAATACTAAACTGCGATGAAAGTGGGTTTTGCACTAACCCAATAAATAAAAAAATTATTTGCAAAAGAGGTATTAAAAACCCTGTATCTATTGCTCCTGGATCAGGAAAAGAACAGTTTACTGTACTAGCAACAATATCAGCTGCAGGAAGAAATTTTCCTCCATTTATTTTATTTGCTGGGAAGAATTTGTATAAAGAGTGGATGACTGGTGGACCAAATGGTTCCTTATATGGGGTGACAAAAAACGGTTGGATGGAAACAGAAGTTTTCACTGAATACTTTAACCATCTTGTTTTATGGTTGAAAGACACACCCAAGCCTGTTTTGCTTATCTTTGATGGTCACATTAGTCATATTTCTTTAGAAACTGTTAAAAAAGCAGTTGAAAATCATATAACTATTTTGTGTTTGCCAGCACACTGTTCGCATTTGCTTCAGCCACTTGATGTAGGAGTCTTTCGCCAAGTTAAACATGTATGGCGTGAAATTCTGGCCAATTGGTATACCGAGTCAAGGCTGAAGGTGGTTGGGAAATCTGTTTTTCCATCTTTATTAAAAAAACTTTATGATACCTCCTTTAAGCCAGCTCATTTAGTACAATCCTTTGCCAAAACTGGAATTTTTCCCTTTGATCCATCTGCTATAGCATCTGACAAGTTAAATCCTTCTGAAATCTATGAACACCCTTTTTCTCAGAAAACAAATAACTATAATAATAACGTCCCTCAAAACATCGTTTTAGACACCAATGTCAATGATCAGAACGATACTTGTGAAAATTTTTCTATTGAATCAACAAATAAATACAATTCACAAAAAACTATAATATCAGTAGGAAAAGACTTAAACAATGAAAAAATAAATCAACTATCAATATCAAATGTAGATTGTTCTACTGGAAATAAAATCATTAGAGAAATAGTGAAAGAACAGTTAATGGCCACAAAGGGTGATGGTCGTTCATACAACAAACGACCTACAAAAAAAATAAAAAGACACTATGGAGGTGAGTGTCTTACATCAGAAGATGCATTTAAAAGATTAAATGATGAAGAAAACGAATGCTTTAAAAGAAAGATCAAGCAGCAAGGCAAAATACAAAATAAAAAAACTAATTTATTAGAAATAACAAACACAAAAGAGTTAAAGATGAAGTAGTTCACTTTACCCCAATGTGGGGGTAAAGTGAACTAGTGGACATGTTTTTTTTGAATATATATTTAATATTGTAAAAGTAGCTTTTAATCTTAGTATTTTGTTTTATATTGTACCTAATACTTTAAATGGTATAAATTTTGAAAACTGCAAAATGTTTTGGCTTTTATTTTGAAAATATTTCCTTTAAATATCAAAAACAGTTCACTTTACCCCAGTTTACCCTAAGTGCTTCAGATTTTTACTCACACTACTCATGTTATGCGTATCGCTGTATTTTCAATAGTTTTAAATAGTTTAAAAAGTTTGCAAAAACTGCCTTTATGTTTCTGAAGACATTGAAGCGCAGCGATGCAAAATCATTAAATTAAGAACGTATAATTTAAGTTTGGAATTTTAAATGGAGGGTTTAAATAAGTAAATCAAGCATATGATGAACATATTTTTATGACATTATATAAACACTAGAGTTTTAGTTACATTTACACTTAAGCAAGAATATATAACATATGATAAATAATAAATATATAATATATGATAATTAAGTTAAATAGACTTGCTCATGCTTTAAATAGCCAATAGGAAACACAGATTATTAATAAATAAAAGTGTAAATAGGATAGTAGCTAGTTAGCGGTCAGTATAACTAAGTAGTACTAATTTATATTATGGCATAAATGCAATATTTTTAATTTCTCTAAATGAGTGCAAATGTGATCCAGTTCCATTAAAAACTTGAGGTTCGAATAAAAGAACTATTTTTATTGTATCATATAATGATAATGTTTCCCAATAAATTTAGAAGATATTCCAAATTAGTTAAATTGAGTCTTTTTTATTCTGTTAAATAGCTATTACTATGTTGAAAATTCCGTAATGTTTTTTTTTGTTTGTTTTAGAGGGGGGGGGGGGGGGATTTTGTGACATACTTTTTTAGGGGGGTGCAGAATTATATGACAGTTTGTGACAGGAGGGGGGGGGAGGGGGTTAAAAATTGAAAAAAATAGCGTGACATACTTTATGGACAACCCCTAAGGAATCGTTCATAAATTACGCTTCGCTAAATTTGTTAAAAAAACAGAAGAGAACTTAAGCTCTTTTACCAATTAAACGCTGTTTTGATTTTTTATTTAACTTAAATCTCTGGGAGGAAAAACTTTTGATTTTTTTGAAAACCTTCGCCTTCCCCACTCCCCTAGTGCAAGACAATTCCTATGTCGAATTAAAAAACTTAAATTGTAAAAACCTTATTTTTGACAATCAGTAACTTAACTTTTAAATAAAATGAAATAAATAAAAACTTATTTTTGTTTAACTAGATTAAATACAACTCTATTTCTTATTGGGTTTTAAATTGAAATTTCTTCGAGTTTTTATTTGTTTATACAGAATTTAGTATTATTGAACTTCTTTAGGATTTTGTTCAAATTCTTTTAAATAAAATTAAAAAGCGTCCTTAATTTAGACGCAATAATATATGAAAAACTAGAACTTTTACAAAGTGTTTTAACTATAAAAAAACTTAAACTTAAAAAACTTAAACTTAAAAAAAAAAAAACATGATTTTTTTGCTCAAATTTAAAATGTTTTCCATCTCATAAGTGAAAGTAAAAAAGCACACGTGGTTATTAAAAAGTATTTCAATACGTCTTTAATAGATTGAATAAATTTTTAAGATCGGAAAAGTATTGGATAAATCAAAATTAGTTTTAAAAGATATGGTTCTCAAAATGTAGTGCAAAACTAAGTAACTTTTGTTCTGCCAATCAGTTCATATACAAAAAATTTATTTCTAAGTATATGTTTACTGATTGGGTTTAGAGAAAAAGCATTTTAAAGATAGGTAAAATTAAATTGTTTTTCCACGTGTAAGTGAAGCATAACACGTTATAAACATTGAGCTCGCAAATGTTAAATAGGTTTATCTCCATAAATAATGATTTGGAATGAGTAAAACAAACCGCAAAATTAATCAAACGGATAGCATGTTTTTGACCAGTGGCGGAATTTCAAATTTTGGAGCCCCTCGCAAAATACTATATAGACGCCCACCACAAAAAGAAAATAATAATTTTTATCTAAATTTCTTTATTGAAAAACTGTTGCACAACTGAAATTAAATAAATAAATAACAGTTTATCTAAAATTGTAAATAATTGCTCCTTGATTTTAAATTGGCAAAACCTGTCACGACTTTGATTCTCATAGTATTGGCTGTTTTTGCTTCGATTCCTAATATAAATAGGTTATGCAAACGTTTTTTGTCTGTAGAACTGCGTAAATATTTTTTTAATATCTTGTAACATTAAATAAATGTAGAGACATTTATTTAATGTTATATTATTCTTTTCGAGCAGATTTAATGTTTCTTTTTATAATGTTTCTTTCAAACAAGAGTATTGAAGCGAACTTATTATTTATTCGAAGTTTAAACATCTAATAAAGTTCATTTGTCATTTAACTCAACTATATTTTCAGAAGAAAATAATTATAAAAGTTGCCAAATATATGTCTTAATTAGGAAGTAAGTATCGGATTAGGGATATAATTAAAGAGATAAAAATTATGGCAAATTTTATTAGTTTTATTTCAATTATAGGTAATGGCTACATTCTCTTTAAAATCATTATCAATACTAGAAAATAAAGTAAAAGATTTTTCGATAGATATTCCACTGATTTTTTGTACAAAAATAGGTGAAGGGACATCTGCATCTATTTTTAAATATGAGCTAAAAGGTGATCCGGTGGCTGTAAAAATCTTTAAACATTCTTTATCCAAGAAAAGAACACTGCAGGTTGCAGATAAATTACGCAAGCTAGTCTGCCCTCACCTCGTAGTGTTTAGAGGATACTCATTGCGACCATCAGCATTTATATTTGACTTCTGCGGAGTAAATGTTGGAGATGAATGTGTAAACAATGTATCCCAAATGATAAAAATTTTTAATGAAAACGATCATTATGTATTAAACGAAAGAATAGACATTATCAAACAAGCTACCTTAGGTTTAAAAACTTTACATGATTTTGGAATTGTACACAGAGACTTTAAACCATCTAATCTTTTGGTCACTGGAACTTTAAGCAAATTATGCGTCAAATTAACTGATTTTGATGACCTATCATTAATACAAGAAACTGTTAATGCCACCCTAACAAACAAAGTCTTTTTGTTTGGAATGACTTTAGCTTTTACAGCACCTGACATCTGCAAACAGGAAGTTAAATCTCCATCCTTCAAGTCAGACATTTATTCCTGGTCAATGTCAGCTTACGAAGTTCTTTCTGGATATGAAAGCCCTTGGGTAAATATAATACCTATACTAAATGATTCTCTCCTAATAGAAGCTTTGAGTCAAGATAAACGACCGAATATAAATGACTTAAACCAGTTTTACACATTTTATGATGAAACTTGGATTTTTAAAATGATTTGCAATGCGTGGGACACAAATCCAGATGTTAGAAAAGATATTGATAAGGTGAGACGAGTATCAAATAATATCAAAATATCAATAGATTTAGCATTTAACGATAAAAATAAATAAATTTTTTTTTCAGATTTTAAAAACCCTAAACAAAGATAGAAGCAAGCAAACAATAAAACCAAAACAAGATGCAAAAATCTATCCACTCAACGAACGTAGGCAGGTATGAAAAAAAATTAGTATTTTTAAAACAGCTATTTTAACCATTATATTTTTTCATGCGCATTATTTTTGGAAATACTTAAACTTGAATTCACTAAAGTAATGTTAATAAAAATTTGGTATTTATTTAAAAATAAGACTTCATTCTTGGAATGAAACTGGAATAAAGAAAAGTGTTCCTTTTTAACTGGAACTAAAAAAAAATCATTTTTTTAAACAGGAATTCGTAGCCCAACTTGATTCAAAACAAAAAAAATGGAGTTTTATTTCAAAATAAAATGACATTGGCATAAATTATAGAACTGTAAATGTTTGCAATATTAAAACTTTGACTACTTTATTTTATTTTTAACTAGAAGTAATAACCCAGTGGGCACGGGACGTAAAAAAATTTCTTTTAAACATCTTTTGAACGTCTGTTTAATGTTTTGAACAACTTTTGAACGTTCAAAAAACGTCTTTTTATTAATCCCGTGCCTACTGGGAAGTTTGCATTGAGTAAAAAAAAATTCAAATATAATTTACATAACAATTTTTTTTAATAACAAGGCTAAAATAAAAAACAAACTTCTTTTACATGGTAACATCAAAAACCAGCTAAAGTTTTACGTTTGTATTAATAGTATGGAACAATTTTTCTTTATTTAAAGAAAGTTAACTCATATGTGTTTGGCATTTTTAAATTCTATTTGAGATTTATTTGAAACTAGTCTAAAAATTTGCATTCATCAAAGAAAATTGATGCTTATATATCTTTAAGTTACTTGATTACTCTTTTAAAAAACAGCAAAATAAAAATATTATGCTATTCTCTAAAACAAAGAGGTAATTAGAGATAATTAATAATATAGATTAAATATTATTTATTTTTAAAAGGTTGTGTTTTTGTTTGTTAAAGTTATCACAGAAAAAGACCCGCTGTTTCCAAAATGAAAAAGCAGAAAAACATTACCAGAGTAAATCTGACCCTGAAAATCTCGAAAAAAAATTTATAAATGATTACAAAGGTAAGATTGTGAAGAGAGCTATACATTTGATTTATGAAATAATAATATAACTTTTTGGAATATGGTTTATATTTTTACTACTATTAGTTATCATCAATAAAATTTTTTTTTAAAATTATTTCTAAAAATACGCATTTTTACCAAAAAATTAGGCTTTGGAATTTTTACAACAACAGAAATAAGCAAAGGTGAATTTGTTGCTGTTTACCAAGGAGTCTTAAAAAAAAAGAATGAAATGAAAGAGCTTGAAAAAATTTATGAAAATGAAGGCTTTGGGTCGTATGTATTTAGTTTCAAACACAACAATGAAGCATATTGGTAAAATTTGTTTAGTAACAAATACAACTAATAATATTTTGGTTTTAGTTTGTTGACTTAACTTAAAGATATTTATTTACTTTTAATATAAACGGACATTGGTCCAAATATATGGAGATATTTTTAATAATCTAAATTAAAACTAATCTAACTCGATTTCAATAAATTTATTTTTTATTGTTAAAATATTTAGTATTGATGCAACCAAAGATGATGGTTCTTTTGGTAGGCTAGTTAATGATTCTAAATACTTTCCTAACTGTAAAATGGAAAAGTTAACCATAAAGAATATCCCATTTCTTTGTCTTTTCTCAATAAGAAAAATAGAAAAATTTGAAGAAATTACCTATTGTTACGGTGAAAATAACCTTGACTGGCACGCAGCTGTAAGTTATTTTTTTTTTTGTATTAGCTTATGTTTGTATTATATAAGTTGAAATTTGTTCTTTAAAATTCTATAATATAATGTTTATTTTTTAGATAAAATACATTTAATATAAATACTTTGATTTAAATTTGATTTATGAAATTACGTTATTTTCTTATAGCACACTTATAGTCAAGTTGAAATAAATTTTATAACAGTTTACTTTTACATTTTATGAAGGAAAAGATATTGTACCAGAAGTTTAGAGAAGAAAAAAGAAAAAGTTAGTTTGAAAAATTAGTTTTTAGAATGTGTATCATTTAAGAAAACTTATTTTTATTTTTTTACAACTACAAAATTCAAATTTCTTATTCTCTTAAATAAGATTAAATCGAATAAAAATTTGAAAAAACTTAACTATAGTTTAAACAATAAATTATGAGGAAATTTTCATCATGATGTATTTTGGCTGCCAATGTAAATTTTTAGTATCGTATATAAACAAAAATGAATATCTCAACCAGATTAAAATTTGATAAAAAGTAGTAAATACATTTAAATTAACTTTATGCGACTTACCCAAGTATTTTGCAGAAATATATTTTCAGATTTGAAAATATATTTATATATATTACAAATGACTAGCGAATAAAAATTTATTTTAAACTAACTTTACTCAGGAATTTTTTGAAGAAAGTTTTATTAAAATAAAAAGTTTTAAATAATATGATATAAATAAAAATACTCTTTACTCCCACGCCAAAATCTTCATTCTGTATGATCCTTAAAGTTCTTAATATAAAACATGCATAAATATCGAGGGTTCGCAAGAGCTTTAGATTAAAAAAAAAAAAAAAACTAATTTGTTTTTTATAATTTGAAAAATTTTATTTGAGTTTTTATTCAAAGTGTTCAAAAAAATTTTCAAATTTTAGAATATAGTTTTTATAGCTATTTCAAGCTTTGTTTTTAGTTACTATTACTTATTTAATTAGAAATTTTTAGTTAGTATAAATATAAATAGAAGTAATTTTAAGCATTTTTAAAATCTTAAATCATATTTGATTACAGAACAAGGATCGAATGTTCAAGTAGTTGATTTAGTTGAAGACAATAAATCCAGTTTTTCTTTTAAAGAGGTAATTTTTTCAACGATTTAGTTAAATTATTGTCTATAATCAGTTTTATAATTTTAAATTTCGTTAAATGCAGAGCACGAGCTAGGCTACCTCACACCGCTTATGGTAAGGGGGCGCAATTTTAGAAAGCTCTTTTGTAAATTTTCGGATCTTAATCTTTAGTATATCTAGTGGAAAATTTTTCGAAATTTTTGGGCCCTAAAAACAGGATTTTTATTGGGGGGAGGGAGGGAGGAGGAATCACTAGCCCCGGCAACGTTTAATTAAAATATTGCAAAAATCATCTAAAAAAAATTTATTCAGTTAATATTTTAAGTTATTAAAAATGTATTAAAGTAATGTTTTAAATGGATAAAAAATTCTGTTGGTATCTGAAATTATTACTATTACTTTTTTTGTATATAATCATAACACAAATGATTACCTTAACACCCAGCCTCTAACATTCCGTAAGTAATATATATTTACACGAATTTTTTTTTTTCTAGCTGCTATCTAAATCCACTTAAAAATTTTTTAAATGAAAAAAAAAATTCATTTTTATTTATTCATTTATTATCATAATTTTTTTTTTGCAGGACAGTAATGCAAATAATTCAAATTTGTTTTTAACGGAAATGAGTGATGCAGTTGACTTTGTTGTCAGCACTTTTGTTCAGGTATTTTTTGTTTAATTATTTTTTATAAGTACCATTTATTTTAAAATCTGTTTTTAGTTAAATTGTTTCAATAATTAAAAGAATGATCTATTTAAATTTTGTTTTTATTTAAGGATTTTATCAATAATTCAGCAAACATTGAATTAACCACTGTTAGCAGTACTGTTAATGACTTATCGGCTGAACCTCAGGTTAAAAATTATACTAGCATTTTAGGGAATTAATGTTATTTCGGAATCACTATAAGTTTTTATTTTTTCACAAGTTTCTGAAACTTTAAAAAAAATTACATTACTTTAAAATGTTATTAATAATTCAATGAGTCAAGTATTAATTGAAGTAAATAGTGTCATAAATGATGAATTGAAAGAGTCTCAGGTTCGAAATTAAATTGACTTCTTTTTCAAGCATTATTCAAAGAGTTTCTCAGCTTACTAAAAAAATAGTTTTTTTGTTATTTTAGAATACGGTTAATAGTTCTTCATACCCTGAATTATGTGAAGTGAATAGTATCATTGATGGTGTTTTGGAAGAAGCTCAGGTAGAAAATGGAATTGACTGTTAGTTTAAAGCCAAACTTTATCTTAAGTTTTCTCGTTCTCTAACCATATCAACTTGAAAAATTTTTGTTTTAATTTAGAGCTTCATCAACACTTTAACAAATTCCGGGTCAAGTCACATAAGCAGAACCGGTAATTGTGTATTGGAATCTCAGGAAAAAGATAAAATAAATTTTTATTGTTGAAAGATTTAAATAAATTTTTTTTGGTATATTAATTTGACTTTTAAACATATTTGTAAACATGTTTTTTCTACTTGATAAAACTCTTTTACTAATTTTTCTATAGAACTCAATAAACAATTCTGAAATCTTTTTGTCTTCAACACTGAATGACGAAAGTTTATGTTTCACCAACCTAAATGAAAAAGACGAACTAATTAGCGAAGAGAAAGTAAATACAAATACTCATAAAGTAAAAAAAGTAAGTTTAATAATGCTAGCGAACTGATTATGGTTTTACAAATGAATACTATCTGATATCAAACTTTATGTATTTTTTTAGGGTCCAATTAAAATACTTAAAAGATTATGTTTTATCTGCGGTAAATCATTTCGAAGACTTTTAAGACATATTGCAAAAAAACACAAAACTAACGAAAAAGTAAAAACTGCTTTGCAAAAACCCAAAATAGAGCGTAACAGGCTGTTTTAATCTTTTAAAAAAGATGGTATTCGCAATTTTAATTTGAAACAAATTGATTTAAAAGTTCCTCGCTTCGAAAGAGAGCGGAGTCAACGAAAGTGTGAAAGTCTAGTTATGTGTTCGTTGTGTCATGGTTTTTATTCGAAATCTTATTACTCTCGTCATATGAATGCATGTGGAAAAGACTCTTCTCATTCAAAATGTGCAGTACCGGTTGAAATCCTTACTGATAAATCACAAGAAGGATTAAGTCAAAATTTCAAAACTGAAATTTTGCAAGTGATTAGAGACGATCCTATTGGCATTACTGTGAAGAGTGATCGAACAATTTTGATGATTGGGTCACTACTTTACGAGAAAGTGAGAAGAAAACTTAGCAAAAAAAGTGAAGTTCAAAATTCTGTTCGAAATGATATGAGACGATTAGGCCATCTATACTCACATTTTAAAAACTATGAAGTAAAACCAATTTATTGCAATGCAGCCGATATGTTTCTTCGACAAAATTTTAGTTCTTTGAAGCTTGCAATTGAAGTATATACAGATACGTATTCTGAAAATCAAAAATCAGGGTTAAAAGCTGCCTTATATTATTTAATTTCTAGCAGTGCAAAAAAATGTGTCGGAAGCTTTTTGGCTCAAGATAATGACGATTCAGCTAAATCAATCTCTGATTTTTTAGTTCTTCTGCAACTTCGTAAAGAAGAGATATTTGGAGATGCAACATATGATTTGAATGAACGCAGAAACATTAGTTTAAAGAAACCATCAAAATTACCAATTGAATCAGATATTCAAATGATACGTGATTACTCCATTTCTGTCATGAAAAAGTACAAAGAGGATAACTTTGTCCTATGGGATCTTCACGCCTACGTTGAACTGCGTGATGCTGCATGTACAAGGCTTGTTCTATTTAATGGTAGACGAGGCGGCGAGCCTGCCCGTCTTTTTTTACGCGAGTGGTTTGAAGCAGCAAAGGATGCATGGCTAGATGAACAACGTGCTGAAGATTTAACAGAGATAAATGAAACAAACATGAAAATAACTTACCAAAGGTTCAAATCATCTTGTCCCTGTTTTAATTCCCGAAGATACTGTCCGTGCTATGGAAATTTTATCCGATCCAGTTGTTAGAAGTAATGTTGGAGTTCTGGAATCAAATGTTTACGTATTTCCTAGTTGTCAAAGTTCAGAAAAGCATTGTTCAGGCTGGCATAGTTTAACTAACGTTTGTGATAAATTGCCTATAATAAACAAGTCTAGATTAACTGGTACAACAAATAGACATAGATTAAGCACGCTTATGGCTGCAATAAATCTTAGTGATTTAGAAAAAAGTTTAGTTTTTAAACATTTTGGTCATAGCAAAAATATAAATGAAAATATTTATCAAGCACCAGCTGCCCACCAACAAATTTTGTCTACAGGAAAACACTTGTTGGCTATCGATGCAGGTATAAAGTAGTTTGTGTATCACTAGAGTACAACTAAACAAAAATAAGATATAGTTTTTAAGATATTTATATACTTTATAATAAAATTTAATATACGATACTTTAAAAGTAAGTTAGGTTTTTACATTAAAAAATTGATCACTTGCGCACAAATTATAACAATCTAAATTAAAAATTTTAAGAATAAATGTTTAAAAATCTTTCATGCGACTCTAAATTAAGAAGACTTTGCAGTCTTGTTGATTTAGAGTGAATTTGTTGAACAACTTGTAAGTTCATTTATTGAATTAGACTGAAATTATTTTTCAATGATAATTTCTTTTGCATTAAATAATATTTACTTATTGGTATTCTAAAATTATTTTCAAAAATTTATTTTTATATTGATGCAGGAAGCGGACCCAAGGAGCACAAACGTATGAAAACCAGTTCAAGTTTGATTCAAACAGGTGGGAATTTGTATTAATTTTAAAATCTTGAATTTCTATTACTTTAAATGAATAAACTGCATCTTAACTGTTAATAGTAGATCCTAATGGATGTGAACCTGAAAATGGAGGCAAACTTGAAAGTAAGACAACTGATCTTTTACATGGTAATTTTTGATTTTTCTTTATGAATTAGTGTTAATTTCAGAGAAATACACTTTTTTTCGTAACGTTATTAAATCTTATATTTGTTATTATTTGATTATAAAACTTAAAATGATTATAACTAAAATTTAAAGGTCTTTACTTCTAGAAAAACCTTTAAATAGTCATCTGTCAAAAGAAATTCAAAATCCAAATGTGGAACTGAATCACTCTCCTGCTCAAAAATTTGAAGGTAATTTTGTACTTTTTTGCAAAGGAGTTTTCCAAAAATTACGTTGCGCAATTCCTGACCGTTTTTTTTATCCCTCCTCTACCCCTCTTCACAACATTGTAACTCTTTAGTAGCAAGTTCCGTATGAGCCATCACAAAACCACTAACCTCTTGTCTCTTCCTAAAGCGTGGCGTAATTTATGGACGACCCCAAACCTGATAAGTGTTTTAATTTGCCACAACAAAGCTGTATAAAAACTTGTTTTTATTTTACTTAATAAAAATCTTTAATAGTTTTACCGTCCCTTCTTCCTACTTTCTTCACCCCTCATCAGACAGCCGTCTAAACTATCAAAAAATACAATTATTTATTAATTAACACAGTTTGATCTATAATTATACTGATTTGTAAATAGAACTATAATTCTTTTTTGCATTAGTCAGTTTTGGTATAGAAAATTTAGTCAATAATAAAATAACACATAATACTAAAAATTAAAGCTTTTTAAATTTCTGAGATTTTTAATTAGCTTTTGCATTTTTTGTTTAGAAAGAATATATACTCAGTGGTCAAAAGAACAAGAAGAACTATTGGAAGAAATGTTTTTTAATTTTATTTAAAAATAATAATAATGTGTAATAAGCAGTTTCAGAGGCGTAGACAGACGTTTTTGTTGTTCGAGATAGGTAACTTCCAGACATGGAGCAAACTCCAAGCATTTATATTTTTATACTTACGTCAAATAATGAGGCTTTGCAAATTAATTCTTGCCCCAAAATTCTTGCCCCCTGCCTATCACGTGAGAGCAACAAGTCGCTATAATTTTTTATAATTTTGTGCTATTCTTATCTAGACTTATATTCATTTATAAATTTTAAGTTTCATAGTAAAATCTCTCAGCGTTTAATAGTTATGAGTTTACATAGTTTGAGCCCCCCTCAATTTTTTATTTTTTATTTATTTTTTTTAAATATTTTAGTTTACATTTGTTAATTTGAGGGGGTTACAAAATTTAAACAGTCATAATTTATGAAAGCTGAAAAATTACCTTATGAAACTTAAAATTTATCGATGAATATATGCCTAGTTAAGAATACTACAAAAAATATTTTATCAACTTGTTGTTTTCACGTTTGGGGCAGGGGGGCGAAAATTTAGGGGCTTTTTGTTCCCAGCCTCCAATCATCGCAATTTTTTGCAAAGCCTCATTATTTGACGTAAGTATAAAAATATAAATGTTTGGAGTTTGCTCCATGTCTGGAAGTTACCTATTTCGAACAACAAAAACGTCTGTCTACGCCTCTAAAACTGCTTATAACACATTATTATTATTTTTAAATAAAATTAAACCATACCCATATTGACAAGTGTACAAGTGTTCACATTTTACAATAAAGAAAAAAAAAATTAAATTCTTTTTAATTTTTTTTTTTGGTGTCGGGGGTTATTTTGCTTTCAGTAGCTAGAGGTTTATTTTGCTTCCAGATTTCCCCAACACCACCCTACGCTAACCCTTTCAAATTCATCCACTAATTATTTGTTAACAATATATTTCTGCATCCTACCCAGTAAGCACAAAGACGTTTAAAAGACGTTTTAAAGATGTCTTTAAGGAGGTCTAAAAGGCGCACTTGTAGATGTCTAGATCATAAGGCTAAAAGACGTCTAAATGAAGACGTCTTTATAAAAACGCGTTTTAGACGTATGTTAGACATTTTTTTCAAAATAAATTTAAGTACATGACGTAACATTTTCGCTTAGTATGTGGTATATATTCGTTGTATTTATAACATCATATATTGTTATAAGTTCGTTTATACAAAGTATACATAGGAACCAGCAATCAAAATAATATTGCTGTAATCACCACCAACGGTTGATACATCAAAGATGAAAATAATAAATAACAATAACAAATATATATAAAAACATTATTTAAAACATTTTAAACTTACCTTTAGTTATAATAATATTCAAAATGCGTATTGCTAGCTAATTTTTGACCGAATACTTGACTTATTAAAAAGATATATTATTATTATAGCAATTATTTTAGTGATTCCTGTGACAACAATTTTAGCAATTGTGTAAAAAAGTGACAACAATTTTAGCAATTGTGACAACAATTTTAGTAATTGTGTAAATTTAATTTAAAGTAATTTACACTTAAAACTTGAACAAATTATTGAAAATAATAAAAACTATGTTTTTACTTTGAATATACGACATCTACTTAACGCGTAATGACAAAGCCGTCAAAAAGAAGTCATAATGACATATTTATAAACAGGTCTCAGAAAAGACGTCTTTTAGCTTTGATCTAGACGTCTTTTAATGCGTATTTTAGACTATTTATTACGCGTCTTTTAAACGTATTTTTAAACTTTAAAAAAACGCATTTTAAACGTCATGTTAAAATTGCATTTATTAAAGACGTCTAGAAGATGTCTTAAAAAAAGATATCTTCTAGACGTTTTTTTAACGCCTAAATAGACGCCTTTTAAACGTCATTTTAAAAACGCCTTAACAAAAGACGTCTAGGAGATGTCTTAAAAATTGACGTCTTCTAGACGTCATTTTATCTTTAAAAAAGACGCCTTTTAAAGGTCATTTTAAAAACGCATTCATAAAAAACGTCTAAAAGATGTCTTTAAAACGTCTATAAAAGTGCGTCTTTACCTAGACTAGTTTTAGACGTCTATAAGTGTCTAAAATGCGTCTTGTGCTTACTGGGTAATTACAATCTGACAAAAAAAAAAGCAAAAAAATTATAAATTATATGTTTTTTGAGTGATTATCTTAAAGCTTATCTAAAATTTGTCATTAAGCATTAAGGATTTTTGGGCAAAGTTTTATTTGCAATAGATCCTGTACCTTTATTTTTAAAGCTACTAACTCTGATAATCTCTTTATACCTGATGAAAACTTTAAGCTCAAATTTTTATCAGGTATAAAAAGATTACCAAAATTTTTTTTTAGATACAATTTCGACATTTTCCAGCAATTAGTTTTAGCTCTGCATGTTTTTAAGTGACCAAGTGGCAAAGACTAGATCGCATGGCGAACACTGGATATTATATAGCGTAAATATTTTTCTTATCAAAACCAATTTTTTTAAATTTCTTAAAATAACTTAGACCTAATACCTAACTTAATAGCTTTTAAACAGGCATTAAGTCTTTATTAACTTCGTTTGAAAAGTGTTAAAATTATTATTATAAAATATGAGGTAACAAAAGGGGTTGCTTAACTTATTATAAAAAAAACTTTTTATAATAACGTACTTGGGGGGGGGGGGGGGGGTCGGGGAAATGGTGGCCTCTGGGGCAATTCTGGACATATGATATTTCTATATTTGTGTAATTTAAGTGAGATTTTGTATCTGTACTGGTACCTACTTTCTACTAGAAGAACTAATAGTTGGTCCTAGTTCTTGGTTCTTCCTACATAAGCGGCGCTAGTTGTCTTATGTTGTTAACTGTCATTTACGTATTAAAAAGAAAAATGACTATTGTTGGGCCCACAAAGACTGGACAGATCTCCTCCATAAAAACGATATTTACATTTGTGACTATTGTATTTAATAGTAATATTGTACTACTTATTTTATTAATTCTTAAACTCATAAACTTATTCTCTTAAACTCTCATAAAACTTATTTTTGATAATTATTATTCTTGTTTTTATTATTCGTATTCGACAAAAGAATTAGTGTAATGTTGACCAGGCTGCAACAAGTGCCTCAAAGTTATGGGGTAAAATTGGCTATTTTGTCTAAATTTTTTCTTTTAATAACAAGTTAATTATTTTTTGTACGTATTTGCCAATAAAGTACTTTATAATATACATTGTATTAATTCTTCTACCATAGTTACAGCTCGGAGCATTATAATACAACCCTAAAAATAGTAAAAGCCTTAAGGGGCCACCATTCCACCAACCTCCCCTACAGAGAATGAAAGGCAATAACGAATTCAGCATTTTTTAGTGTTTGAGATAATTTCCAGACATGGAGCAAACTCCAAACATTCATATACTTTCACTTAAGTCAAATAATGATGCTTTACAAAAACATGCGATGATTGGAGGCTGGGAACAAAAAACCTTTCTATTTATCTTCACCCTAAACGTAACGAGCAATAAGTTGATAAAATATTTTTTCTACTATTCTAATTTATCGATAAATTTTAAATTTCATAGTATTATCTGTCAGCTTTAAAAATTCTTATCTTATTTATAAATAAATACATATACTTGTATTTATACTTGTATTTACTTGTATTTATAAATGTATTAAAGTTAAATGTATGTAAAGTATATAGTGAGGAAATAAATTTAAAAAAACTTGAATTTCCTTTAATTAAAAATAAAGTACAAACTTTTACATTTAAACGAATTTTATTATTTAAAGCTCAGATAATAAAACTCGTTTCGACATAAAAGTTTGTAGTTTATTTATTAATAAAAGAAAAACACAACTTTGATAAAAATATAATTTTTTATGCGATTAGATTTTAAACGCATAAAATGTTCTATTTATTAAGCTTTAGAAAATTCGATTTACCTTAAAGATTAATGTAGAAGTTTGTACTATATTTGCTTTATTCGTAAAGAAGAAAAAATGGAACGTTGGATGCTTACTTTTTAGAAAAACTTATTTAACATTTAACATATATAATAGTAGAATACTTATTAATAATTCGATTATTAAAAGCTAGAAAAATAAACTTTTTATTTAAAAAATATTTTCGTGTAAAGAGTTATTAAAAAGACTTTTTAGCTTATTTTTAAAGCAAACCAAAAACTTTTTTTTACGCTCATTTTCTTTATCCAATTTTAGCAAATTTGTTTAACATGTTTTAAAATAATCCTTTTTAGGCGAATTTTTAAACAAGTTTTAGGTAAATTCACTTTAAGTTTACCTTGAAACATGTTTAAAATAAATTCACTTAAAGCGAAGTTTGTAAGCATGATTTCAATAAATCCACTTTAAGTGAAGTTTTCATATATATATATATATATATATATATATATATATATATATATATATATATATATATATATATATATATATATATATATATATATATATATTTAGATAAATCCTCTTTAAGAGAAGTTTCAAACATTTCTAAATTAAAGGTTTAAATATTTTTTAAATTTTGTTTTAAATAATTTTTAATGTTGTTTTAAATAAATATAAATTTTAGACAAAGTTTTAAATATGTAATTTAATAACTCTACTTGAAACAAATGTTCAAACATCAATTCAATAAATCCACTTTAAGAGAAGTTTTTTATCACGTTTTAATGAATCCACTTTAGGCGAAGTTTCAAACATCTCTTAAAATATATCCACTTTAAGCTAAGTTTTAATCATTTTTTAAAGAAATCAAGCTTAAGCAAATTCCTAGAATAATTTAAATAAATCCACTTTAAACGAATTTCAACATGCAAAATTTAAAAAAAAATGTGATGAAAGAATTTTTTTTTTATGAAACCTAATTACAGGGTGCCATGTTTCTTAAAGCACAAAGAAACACTATTTCTCCCCTCCTATCTGGTCTATTTCTCCTTATCCTATCTGGTCATTTATTTCAGCATTTTGCAATTCTCCCCC